CTACTTCCTAGCTTAGGGTCTTTCACCCAGGATTTGCCTTTCCTCAGACCATCTATGAAGGTGGACTGCCTGACAGTGAACATTCTCTTGGCAAATATACCCCCCCACCAAATGAAAACCCTTAGTACAGCTGACTTTGGGCTGGCTAATCTGAGATTCCCCTGAGGAAATAAATCCTCCTATAGCTACCAATATTTCAAATTTCACATCCTCAAAAACAGTTTGGACAAATAAAGATCTGCTTAAGACAAGTTCTGCTAATTAAGAGAAAATGCACAGGTCCTTGAGTGCCCTCTTAAGCAAATGTACAGAGCATACAGCCAGCAGGGCCATTGGGTACTGGATCACCAGTGGGCACCGGTTGACAACCTCATCCCCCTGCCCAGTGTTTTCTCACAGTACTTGTTTTCTTTCAGCCCTATGCCCCACGGCATATGCCCAAAGCTATTAATTAATCACATAAAACAAATGACTTCAAGTTTCTGAGTTTCATACCCATTTGGAAGACTCCAGAACTTGCTAACAATTTTTGTGTATGACAAAATAATTTTTGTTATTTTTCCCTCATCCTAGAATCAATGGACTACTTCTTTCTTTTTCAACCACACATGCTTCTAGGATTTAGGGAATTTCAGAATTGCAGACCTAGAATTAGATTTGAGAAATCCATCTTCATGTCCCTCCCACTCTCAGCAATTCTCTGAAAGCATTCTAAATAGCTACTCTTCATAGAAGGCTCTGGAAGGCCGGCTGTTAGAGAACCCTGTCTCTCTGAAACCTCTTTGGATCCAGCTGGCTTCAAGTTTACCATATGTACTTACTTGGTCACTCCCTATCTTTTTGCCCATGGCTTCCTATCCAAAGTCCCTGCTTAAATGTAGCCCAAACGCCTGTTTCTATCAGTAAGAGTCTCTGTTGTATCTATGTGCTATAGAGTAACCTTTTGTTTTTAGACTTATAAACAAAGCAAAATCAAAACAATAAGCTCCGAGAGCTCATTTTACGTTTGATGGCCCTGTCTCAACGCTGCAACAACAGCACCGTCAAACTGTCACTGCTCTGTAGCATTTGCCCCAGATGCCATCCAGGTCTGCACCTGCGCAACCAGGATGGGCATTGTGAGTCACTCTGTCTGCCACCACATAAAAAGCTAATTTCACATTCAGAATATATGTTTTTTTCTTTCAATACCAATAGCAACAAGAGTGTGCCAAAAAATTCCCCTTGAATCTCTATTCTGTTTTTTAAACTACAGAACATTCTTTCATAGTTTGACAGTTAAAATGCTGCAGTTAATGTAATAAACAGAGAATTTTTCTAAGTAGCCTGTCAAAACAAGTGACACTTTTTTTTTTTAGCTAGCGAGTCTCAGATTCAGAACAATAGGAAGTACCTTTCAAAGCAACATCTTCATTATACAATCAAATTCTCAAAGTAATCTTCTCATCAAAGAATATTGTGTTATTTCTTTCCCAGTAATTATCGGAGTTCTGCAACCTCTCTGGCAGTGGTGACTATGACAAACGCAGCTGTGCTGAGTTCAAAGACTGGGGCTCTTGCCCTAGCTGACATGGAGCCAATGCATCCCAGAGCACATTTCTCAATGACTTGGTAGTCTGGGCAGTAAGAAGTCAACCTTTCTAGGATCTGTGAACATGACCCCAGTCTCCAAGTACAAAGTGTTTAGCCAGTCCCTTCAAGGACAGCAGTGCTACTGAGGATTTTTAAGCACCTAAGCTTATTTTCTTTCCTGATAAATAAAATAAAGTGATCCCTCCAAAGAGTATCAGAAGATTAAAAAGAAAACAACTTGGGCTGGAAAGATGGCTCAGAGGTTAAGAGCACTGACTGTTCTTGCAGAAGACCGGGTTCAGTTCTCAGCACCCACGTGGCAGCTAACAACTGTCCCAGAACGCCCATTCTAAGGGATCTGATGCCCTCTTCTAACCTCTGTGGGCACTGCAAGGCAGGGGTGCACTTACATAGATACTGGCAATACCACATACACATAAAAAATAAAAATAATAAATAAAATATTTTTAAAAAGAAACAACCAAAAAATGGAGGGGTGTGGATGCAGAACTCTGCTGTCCATCCCATAAAACGCAATTCTGTATTCTTCACTTTCTGCCTTTTGGAAGATAGCTATCACAAGTAGAAAGACCATCCACAAGCCGAAAGAACTGGCAGCCCAATCCCTATGTGGACCAAATTTTAAAAACTGGGAAGATGGGAAGAAAATGATACGTCTTAAAATATCAATGAAATCTGTACTTTATTTTAACCTTTTTGGTTTTTGGAGACGGGGTCTCACTATGTAACCCAAACTGGCCTGGAACTTGTTACATTGCTCAGAATGGCTTCAAACTCAAGATCCTCCTACCTCAGCTTCTAGGCACTCAGATCACAGGCCTTAGTCACCACACCAGTTCCAACCTGTACTTTAGTAGCTAGCTAGTCATCAAGAGGAAGCGCAAAGCTTTGGAAATGTAATTTTCTCTGAAGGGTTTTTGGACTTCAAGAGTTCGTGCAATTCATTGCTAGTGGAAGAAGCAGGAAGCAGACCCACCTCTCTTTTGGGGTGCTGGTGTTTGAACCCACAGCCTCAGACATGCTAGACAAGCACTTTATCCCCCAAACCAGAGGATCCCATTTCTAAGGATGATTCATGAAACCTAGCTATGAAGTCTGGAGCATACAGCAAATACCCAATAAATGTTTGTTTCATTTTAATCTAATTTAGGAGTGCCTCTCTCATTAGATTATAGACTCCTCAAAGCAGGACAATGTACTACTTTTAAATTTTAATCTACGTGGTAAGTTCTTGAAAATATTAGTGCGTTTCTGCCTCCTTTTAAACAACTAAGGCTGAGAGGAGATTAGAATGGACTATGAACTCACTCAGCAAATGTTTATTGATGGCTGCCTTGGTGTACTCTCAGGGTGAGGGATATGGCCTGGCTATTCAATACTATGGTAATCCCCTCTTCAAAGTATGATGTGCTAATACACACTACCTTAATCAGAGTTCTAGAAGGAGGAGCAAGCCTCTTGGTCCATGCTTAATACCATAGCATCTAGAAAAAACTAGGTGTTCAATAAGTATTAATGAATACTAAGTGAATGAAGTAAAATGAAGTTTGTTGGCCTTTCACGGACTCCCAGTTTCTAGCAGTTTCTCAGTAGGAGTGCCGTTTATCTGGCCAGCACTGTTCTTTAGCACTGCTGGTGGGGCTCCTTGACAGTGCATGTCCTTAGCATCCCTTGGTCTTCAATGAATGCCAACAGTTTGTGCGCCTGCTCATGTATTCTGACAGCCCAAACGTCCTCACACATTTCCAAATGCCTCTTAGGTGCTGTCTCACCCTTGACTAAGAATCACAGTGACTTGAATGATGGCGGCAGCAAGAGAAACAGCAGGAAGTGGATGGGTCCAGGAAACGATGAGGAAGGACAAATCATAGAGGAATGGTCAAGAGAGAGGGAGGCAGTATAACTGGAGAGAAAACACGGTGGTTTTTTTTGGTCTTTTTGAGACAAGGTCTCCCTGTAGCCCCAGCTGTCCTGGAACTATGTAGACCAGGCTGGCCTTGAACTCACAGGGATCAGCCTGCCTCTGCCTCCCGAGTGCTGGGATTAAAGGCGTGCACCACCACGCCCGGCTGAAAACATGGTTTTATATGGTTGTCGGTCACATGAGTTCTCCAAGCCCTAGGGAACTCTTGTGCCCTTAGCCACCCTGCCCATGGTCCTTCAGGGAAGACAGAGCATAAAGTGGCTAGGCAGGTTTCTTGGACCCTACTCCTGCTTAGGTCAGTGAAGTTCTGGCTTTTCTATTTGATATTTTGGATTTTCCTGTTAAATTTCTGTTTGAAGAAAGGGTTTTGAAGCTAAAAGAGCTGAAAGTCATGGTTCTAGAGTTAAGGATGATGGTCCCAGCTGGGATGAGGGAAGGCCTTTGAAATGTTCAGTGCGGGAGATTAAGACCCAAGAGAAAGTTTGGACAAAGAGGACATGGTGTGACAAAAACGACATGTGTTGAAAAGCCTGTGCAGTATGGAGTTTGGGTGAGTGAAAGGGAAAGAATCCTGGGGGAAGGAAATAAAGCTGTGCTCGGAGGCTATTGTGAGCTGGTCTGGGGGCAGACGTTGGGAAGTCTATCTAAGGGACAACTCTCTTGGAAAGTGCTCAGTGAACACACCAGACACGTAAAGTTTAATGTTCTTGTGGAGATCTAATAATAAAGGAAGGTCGGCCAAGCCAGGGACTCAGAGTTGACATCTGTAGCTGGCTGCAATTGGTTGCAGGTTGGAGGGAGATTTTATTTCTAACAAAAAAACATAAGCTGGTGTGTGGGGCTGCAGAAGCTAGTGCCATGCCATCCCTATGGCAAAGGTTTCCCTGAGGATCAGGAGTGGCCATGTGCTTTGCATGCCCCATAGCAATTAGGAGAATGTCTGGCATCCAATAAGGTCATAGTTTTTTGTTGTTGTTATTGTTTCCGCATTGAGTTGATTCATTGTCAGCTTGGAGGCAGCCTCTGCAGAGAAGTGGGTTTCCAGCTGCCTCCCTGGCTGAATGAAAGTCTGAAGAGGTTGCCACATGGATGTGAATGAATGAATGAATACATGCATGCAAGCACAGGTATGATGGCTTTGCTTGTGATGACATTTGTCCCCTGGCACTATGAAAACAGGGGCTGCCTCACTCTGGCATAGAAGTAGAGCAGTTTCTGTTTACCATTGGCCAAAGGTCATTTAATATGGGGCTCCAGTTTGACCTGAGCCACCCACTGAAGATCTAGAGTTTTAACTCAGGTAAGTGGGAAATATAGGATCCCCGCCCCCCAAATAAAAAGGCACCAACACTGCTGCAATGTCAGCCCTTTGCTGTTTCTCCTCTGACCCTGGGGAAAGATTAGGCTTTTGCATTTACCCTTGAGACCCTCTTCAGATATGCCTATGATAGCCCTAACTAGCAGACCAGCAACCAGCTCTTACGGTTTACGCAGGATCATCCTCATGTGGGCATCGGGGCCCATCTGCGACAACAGCAGCATGGTGTCCTGGAGCTCCTCCTCACACTCCTTCTTCTCCTCCTCAGTAGGCAAAGGGGCATCCTCATGCTCATCATCCAGAAATCGGTAAAATAAATATTTGTCTTGGAAATGGTGCTCCTGGTCCACTGTGAGAAACATGGAGGAGGGTTGGCTGGGGCTCTGAGCTAGCCAGGAGTGCAGAGCCCGAGTTCCGAGTTCCATAAGAAAGCCGAGTGGCAGCACAGTGGAGATTCTCAGCTCTTAGCACTCCACCTCGCCCAGGCGGGGCAGCTGGACACCAAGTCACCCCAGCTGCTGTCATGCAGGCCACAGCCTCCTGGGCCCACCCGATCTGGACTCTGTGGGCGTCCCCACTGAGCACCTGCCAGCTTTTCTGAGATGAGCGCACTGACCTGCAAACATTGCCTTGGTGACATTTCCTAGAGTGTGGGGCATGTGTCCTGAACAGGTAAACTCACTGTCAGATCCTGCTGGTAGAATGACTTTAGAAAGTACAGTCTCATGTGGGAAGCTCTTTTGTGAGATCAGAATGTATCTTTTCTTTCTACATGCACTGTTTATGAACATTTCTCTCTCCACTTGGAAAAAAAGAGCTACAAGAACCTTAATTAATTATTTGAACAAATCCAACAACAGACCACGCTTCTAAGTCATATACTCCCTTAAAGGAATTTGTGGTGAAATCCTTCCAGGATCTATTTTAAATAGTTATTTCTTCCTTTTCTTTTTGCACAGCTGGAGAATCAAACCCAGGGCCTCACACATACTAACCAAGTGATTTACTTGTGAGCTATATCCCTAGACTTCCTCTTGTTATCTTCAACAAGATTTAGATCTTTGCTAAATAATGGTAATGAACTAGGCTAGAATGCCTCATCTAAATGTTGGAAAGCCACTTCGCCCCTTTCTAGCAACAATACTCTCAAAAGATAAAGAGCAGTGGTAGACCCTTTCTGCTCAACATGATCCTTGCAACAGAAAGGGTGGCATGTGGGCAGGGTTGCAAAGCAAGATGCTCAGACTCCAACCCAGGCCTGCTAAGCCAGAATCTGCATTAAAGAAAGGTCCCAGGTGATTGGTATGCACATTAAAGTCTGAGAAACTCTAGCAAAATCTTTATTCCCAGGTTCCCAGGTGTTGGCGAATGAAATGGATGATTTAAGTATTTTCATGCTTAGAAATACAGTCTGAAACAAATGGTACGCACAGTTCAGTGACAGTTGCACAGCGACCCTGAATAGCTACTGTGTTCAGTGAGAGCCATTGCACTTACTAGGGGCTGCAATTGTGGAGCATAGCTCTGATTTTAAATACGATCCTGCAGGTATACAAATTGGCTCTCCCAGACAGAAACACAGTTAAAAGGCAGCTTCTGAATTCATTACTCACTTTCATGTCATCAGCCCAGCCACACATCTCACTGCTCTTCATTCTGCCTCTGCATCAGAATTGCTATGCAATGCTCGGAGTGTAATCACACTATCAATGAACCATGAATGCAAACTAATAAACATAATTGGAACTGATACACTCCAGTTGCAATTTCATTTTCCTTCCCTTCGTTCTCGGAAGTTAGGAAGGTACAATGGTGGAACATAGCAATCAATAGCATCCACTGGCTGCATTTATATTGCTAAATGAAGACGCTAGCTTGGTGGTCCCTTAAGGGGATCATAATTCTTTGTTGCCCATTTGGGAATTCAGTAACAGCTTACCCAGGAAAACACACTTAGCATTTACTGAGGGTTTTCCAGGGCCTGAGGCTCATCTTACCATGGTCGAGGACACCATCTTCCAGCAGGACTTGCCACATGCCAACAGCTTGACTCCGGGAGTGAACACATGAAGTCTGTTGCATCATCCAGTCCACCAGCTCGGTCCCCACACAGCATTGTCTAAAGGAGATAAGACACAGGATAGGGAAGCCACCCCTTTGCAGAGAGAAGTCTAGAGAAAGAGAGTGTGGTGCTCTTAAGCTGTCACAAGGCAAAGAAAGCACCATGGGGCATAGAGTGCTTTCAGCTCAGGAAAGAATCTTCTCTAAGCAAGGTTATGTAAATAAAAGAGCGCTAAATGAGATCTCCAGGGTGAGGTGGAAGGGCTGCTAGAGCACAGCACCATCGTACAAGCTAAGCTGGATCTCTGTGAGCTGGTTCCAGAAAAACTTCAGGGTGAGACAAAGGTAAAGCTGAACATTAACTTCCTTCCCCTGAGCCTTGTGTGGAGATAGTGTCGGTGAGGTACTTGGAGGTGCTCCATGAAAGGCACTGTTTAAGTACAAAATTATATAGCACTTTATATTTTCAAGTAATACCGATCTTCCTCAGAGGGGTGTTGGGAGAAACAAGCAATTAGCGATGCAAATCTCTCTGAAAAAAAAATGTCTGTGTAATGAGCATTAGCACTTCTGTGGAACCTGTCATTTAACAGCACCAAATGCTTCCTGTGTTCCTGTTAGTTCCCTAAGCTATCTCTTGGGATAAGTTGGTCTGGGTAGACAAAATATGTGTATTGGTTAGGAAATACATAATTATACACTTACAGATGAGGAAACTCTGAAACCCTGTGTGGAGTGAGAGAGTAGGGCAGGTACATATTCCTGGTATGACAGCACAAGGGTGCTGAGACTTTGGGACAAGGGAGAGAGTGGAATCTTGAAGTCCAAGGGAAGGATCCCAAGGGACAATAGAACTGGGCAAGGAGCCTCAGAGCAGCTAGCTGCCTGCAGCTGGGATTGAGCCACTGCTCCCTTGGCATGCTACGATGGCACCACCTCTGGGTATGAGCTGAGACTGGACCAAGCTTGGAAACTCTTGTGTAAAGTGAAGTTGATTCCTTGACCTGGCCACTCTGGGAAGAATTCTGAGTTGGGATAAGAAAAGAGATAGAACACCATGCTGATACTCTGCTCGGTGACGCTGGCCAGCTCCCTAGTTCTCAACTTCCTCCTCTGACAGAAAAAGGAGGAGCAAGGAACTTGGAGGCCTTCGCAGCTGCAACATTCTAGGAGCTCTGAAATCTATCAGAGCTCCTGGGACGTGCTGACCCTGACCCAGAATATTTCCAGGGAGGGCTGCTGAGACGACTGTGTGAGCCCCAAGAATGCTCTTATTCCAGTCTACAACTATCCAGCATAGCTTCCAAGAGGGAAGAGGCACCTACACATTCATTCTGAACCAAACATTCCCTGTCAAAAGTATTTCTCTTTCAATTTTGGAGTTTATTAATTTGAAAAGTCTCTTTAAAAGTATAGAAATCAATTTCATTTGGCTTTTAATTCAATGATTGCTCTTTGAAAAAAGAGCACAGGTAACAATATCCCCAGAGCACCTGAGTCCCTAAAAAGGGTGCTGAGACTTTGGGGCAAGAGTACTTAACAGAAGACATCGCTGTGTCACCTTTGGCTGGTGGAGTCACATCACTGGGTATCCTCTCCTCTAATGAGCCCTAGCCATTTTAGAACTATTGACCTCTGGCATAGTGGTCCCTGGGGGTAATACTGAGTCTGGAAAGGTCTTGAGTTCCTGATATTGAGCAATCACGTAGTGGGGTGAGAAGCAGAGGGAGAGAGGACAGGGCTTGCAAGCACAAGATCTGGGACAAGAACGCAAACTGCCTCAAAAGAGAAAGAAGTCATGATTTTGGCTTCAAGGAAGTCTACTAGTCATTAGCAGATCATCAATTTGTATCATAGGGTGTGGGACAGACATGACCCCTACATTTCAGGGGTTTAAAATCTCAGAAATATGGAGTAAGAAAGTGATCATGGTTTCTGACCTCTATTTTCCATTATTTGTCATACAACATGACATACTCAATGAAATTTCCTAACACAAGTCAGTAATTGAGGAAGCACACTCCCATCTTAAGGAAAAATAATTTTAAAAATTCAAGGAAAAGATCTTCTAGCCACATGAGATTTTGAAGTCTGCTTAAAGCTAACAAGCTAAAGGGCCAAAGAAGCAGAACTCTGAGGATATGGAGTGCGTGTGTTTTTATTTTGTTTTAAATCTTTACTTATGGTGAATATGACCCACAAATTCCAGAAGGAATTAACTTCCAGAGTTGGAGCACAAAATTGTCGATATAGATCTGAAAACAGTAGCTAGTAAAAATATGGGGCTGGAGAGGTGGCTCATGGGTAAGAGCATTTGCTACTTAAGCACAGGACCTGAATTTGAATGCCCAATACCCTTGCAAAAAGCTGAGCATGGCCAGGCACATACCTATGACCCCAGTACTGTGGGGAGCAAAGACAGTAGGGTCCCTGGGGCTTGCTAGTTGCCAGCCTAGGTCCAGTGAGAGACTGTCTCAAAGGAATAAAGTGGAGAGTGATAGAGCAGGGCACCCAGTGTCCTCCTCTGGCCTCCACATGTACACATGGGAATATGCTCCTGTACATACCACATATATGGGTATATGCACAACAACAACACACACCACACACCACACCGAAACAAAACAAGAACATACCAAGGCCCAGATGACCAGTCTGCCCTAAGAAAGAAGTCTCTTAAGAGGAATGTCTACATAAGTCTAAAGTATTTCTCAAATACCCTCTTATTTCTAAAATTCCACCAAGATGAGGTCAGTCAAAATGTAACAAGCTGTCAGTTTGGGTCTTATGACACATTCACACCAAATGCAAGCAGAAGGGTATTGGTTTTCATGTTGTGGAGAAGCCGTGATGGAAAGATGCAGGTAGGACCTGCAATGTTTTCCCAGTCCTGTCCTTGAGAAAGACCAGATGTTAAGGGCACACAGGTGGTAGGCTTGTGAGAGGGCAAACCAAGTATTATTTCACAGGGTCTATCACAGTTGGCTGCCATAGTAAAAATCTGTATCTATGGTAACTTTTATTTCTGTGGAAGTTTTTCACTGCCTTGGTATTTGGTTCATGGCACTTGACTCAGGCCAAAGTTAATGGGCTCTGAGGTCATGCCTAGGCTAAATGGGACAGAGGAACTGACTGATGGTGAAAGGAGGACTGGGTCCCAACCATGGATTCAGCTTGTGTACCATGTAGTAAACATTCCAGTTCCTAACATTTGTTGAATTGATAAATAAAAAAGCAAGGATTAGGCTTGAATTCTTAGTCTACTGTGGTTGAGTTATCTTAGAAGGTTCAACTAACCACAGAACCTCTATCTTCTTTGTCACTTCTGGTGTTTGTTTGTCTTTTTGAGACAGGATCGCCCTGTAGCACCAGTTGTACTAGAATTCTCTATGTAGACTGGGCTAGCCTATATCTCACAGAGATCTTCCTCCCTCTGCCTCCCGGGTGCTGGGATAAAGGGTATGCACCACCATGCCCAGTTAACTTCTGTTTCTTTAGTTAGTCAGTTAGTTGTGTGTGTATGTATAGGTCAGGGGACAATTTTCAATAGTAAGTTCTCTCTTTCTTCCGGGATTGTGGGGATCAAACTCAGGTTGTCAGACCTGGAAGCTAGCGCCCTTACTCACTGGCCCTTTGGGTTTTTTGTTTGTTTATTTGGTTGGTTGGTTGGTTGGTTGGTTGTTTTTGAGATAGGTTTCATGCAACCCAGGCTGGCCTGGAACTTTCTCTGTAGCTGAGGAAAAGCTTGAACTGGTGATCCTCCTGCCTCCACCTCCCAAGTGCTGGGACTGCAGATGTGAATCACTGGGTCTGGCTGGCTTTGTCAATTTTTTTTTTCATATTTTTGAGACAGGGTCTCCCTGTAGCCCCACCTGACCTGGAACTTGCTATGTAGACCAGGCTGGCCTTGAACTCATAGATGGCTTTGTCAATTCTTAACTTTAATGGCAGCTATAATAAGGAAATCTTACTTTATCTGAGTATAGATGTGATAGAATTATGTATTTTACTAAAATGAAACTTTATCTTAGAAAATAAAAATAAAGAAATAAAAAGTAAAGAAAAAAATACTATGAAAGGTTTTATATATTTTGTTGTCTTCTGTCTCCTTAAGAGGTTAGAACACTATGACTTTAAAAAAATGGTGAATTTGAAAGCAAACTTGGTTTAAATCTTGGTTGTACCATTCACTAGATTTGTGACAGAAAACTCCTTTTTTTTTTTTTTGTCTTTTTGAGACAGGGTCTCCCTGCAGCCCTAGCTGGCCTGGAACTCACTGAGCTGACTCAGTTTTGTCATCTGAAAAATGAACATATACCTAAGTACACCTAGAAGATGAGACACAGGGAAAGAGGCCTAGTTCAGGTACTGGAGCACAGGGATGAAGGCGGTGTCAGCTGGACTTGGTAGGTTCCCCGAAAGATGCTGAAAACAGAAATAATACAAAAAATGTTCTCATTGCTTATCACAAGTGAACTAATGCCTGCACAAATTACTTCCGGTGTTAAGCCCACGATGCTAAGGCTAATTCAACACTCTGAGTTCAGCAGGGCTTCAAGACAAGCATAGGCCTGGAACACGGGGACCTATGTTTGCTCCAATTTCAGTAAATACAAGTGGGAGGAGTCCATAGCCTTTAGAATTAGCAAACGTACCTGTATGTCTTCAGGTGGTATTTTCTGTCTCTTATCATGTGAGGTGCTCGGGAGAGAATGGCATTTCGTAGAATTTTTCCCGCCCTGAGGATCTTCTCTGAAGGGACCTGGATTTTAATCAGGTGGAAGGAGAGGAGGAAAAATAAGGATGGCTTATAGAAGGAAAACAAGCCAATGACTCCTTAAATCACTTTCTAATCAGAGTCTGGCTAGAAAAACATAACTTACTCATACATATTTACATTACTCACTCATGTGACATGTCACTGTTTTATGTTGAGAACTGAGATGCATTGCATATTTATTGACTCTAGAAAGAGGATTTGAGGTGCCTTGACATGATGGTCTGACACATGAACCACATCCAGCGCTACTTAAGAAGTGAGCTCTGATGGTTCATCAACCCACCTACGTCCCATTACCTTGGTAATGGTGTTAGCAGGACGGAGAGGAACGTGAGGTTCAATGAGAGGTGTCTGAAAAATAAAATGTTAAAGCAAAAGAAAATTAAACAAAAAGTTCAGGAAATAAAATTATGGGTTAGGGGATAATAAGAAATAACAATTTTATGAAACTCAAAATAGAATTTAAAAAAAAAAAACAGGAGATAAAGCTGTCTAAGGAGTTTGAATGCGTAGGCATTCAAAGGGCAAAATTGGATCATTCGGTTTGCCAACATTTAAATATAAATTGTTAAAAATGAAGAAAAAGAACCAAACATACAAGAATGATTAGATGTTTGCAGGTTTAATGAAAAGGGAATACTCAAAGCTCAGCAGACATCAGAGCATGGGAGGAAACAAAACAAGATAAACATAAACAGAGATTAAAATGACCTATCTCCAGGGTGCAAATATAGTATTGATTTTGGATGAGGATGAGCTGTCTCCTTTGCTCTAGTGTAGCTGAGATTCTTTTTCTGTGGTGTTTTCTCTTCAAATGCAGCCTCCTGGCCATTCTCTGCACTCGACCTCCTAGAACCCAATGGAGGCAGTTGGCATGTTTCTCTTTTTCTGACAAAACTGTGCATGGTCTTCAAAATTTTATACCCTCCAGATCAGTTCCAGGGTCTAGAGAGCACTCTTCATATGAACCACAATCTTTGGATGGACAGAATGAACCTGAAGCCAGGGAGGGGGCAGTTTCTTGCTACTCAGCTACACAATGGTGTCCCCTAATCTTGTCCAAACCTCTTTGTTATCTCAAATATCTGGCAATGACATTTCCAAATGGAAGAGGAAGATATATTCAGTCAAAGGTGGTGGAAGAGTCATCAGTACAATGTTGTTTATGACACTCTGGGAAGGTATGATGGCAATTTACTTATGAGATTTAGTAGGCTGGGCCTCTACCTATACATACAACAATGATTTCCCAAAGGTGTACATGTCCTTGAGCCCAGAACCTGTGCATGTTAAGTCACCTGGTAAAAGGGATGCTGTGGGTCTGGTTAAGAACCCAAACAGGGAGACTAGCCCGGTGTTTCCAGGGGGCTGGAGTGCAAGAGGGAGACAGAAGGTCCTCACCGGACAACAGCTTGAGGAGGAGTTGGCAACTCATCTAGCTTTGAAGATGGAAGAAGCCAGAAGCTGGAAATGTTGCAGCCTGGTCAGGGATTAGGCAAACCAAGAAACTCCCCTTAGGGTCTCTAGAAAGAACACAGCCCTACTGATGCCTTGACTTTAGTCCAGAGATTCACACCAGACTTCTGAAGTGCAGCACGGTAAGCTTAGTGATAGGCGCTGTTTCAGACCACTCAGTTCTCACCTGTTATGGCAGCGCCCAAACACTGACTCACAGGTCCATGCTTCATATCAACACCCCTGCTTTTTGCACACGGAGACTATTTATACTGAAAATAAATTGGTGAGTTCCCTCTAGTCCTAATTTAAAGTATATAATCAATGGGGGAAATAAAGGTCCCCATCAGTTTTTAAAACATTTTAAACCTCAACACAAATATACACATATAAACACAAACTTCCTTTGTCAATACTAAATTTCAGGTGGGTTGATGGTTTTAGTATTACAAAGAATTAAAGGAAGAAATGAATATTAAACTTTTTAAAACAGCAGAGCTTAGACATAGATTTGTTTAGAATGACTGAAATTTCATTGACTTTACATATTACAACATTTTCATCACTGGCATCCAGCAGACTTCCCCTGCTGAAACCATTAGAGCCCAAGTGTTAAAACTGAACACTGCTTATAGCCAGTAGAGCCAAAGGAAGTCAATGAGGTACAATTCAAAATGACTTGGAGGCAGGTGAGGTGGCACACACCTTTAACTCCAGTATACACATACATTTAACTAAGTAACTAATAAATGAAAAATAAATAATAGTTTTTAAAAAATCAGAAGTGAGCATGTCTTTAATCTCAACACTTGGGAGGCAGAGGCAGGTGAATCTCTGAAATTGATGCCAGCCTGGGCCACATAGTGAGTTCCGAGCCAGCAAGGGGACCCTGTCTCAAAAAAAAAAAAAGCCCTAAACAAAACAAAAACAAAATGACTTTAAGCAGAGACCAGTTTTGCCATGACAACACCTGGGCTCCTCAGTAGACTGGCAGCTGGACCAGGGACTGTGAAAACATAGCCCAGAGCCTCGATGAGCCAGGGGGACTCTGTGAGGGCATATCCCCTAGGATAACATTCAAAAGAGCCAGGCTCTCATATACCAGAGGTCTGGGAATGTCTAGTTACAGCGAGCTATTTCCCAGTTGTGACCTCCAGTTCCCAGCACCTGCCTTGTCTATTGTGCTGGATAGCTTTAGTGTCAACTTGACACACCTGGGTTGAGGGAGCCTCGATCGGGGAATTGCCTCTATTGGACTGGCCTGTGGCCATGTCTGAAGGGCATCTTCTTGATGAGTGATGTGGGAGGGCCCAGCCCACTGTGGGTGGTGCCACCCCTGGGCAGGTGGGCCTGTGTTGCATAAGAAAGCAGGCTGAGCAGGGGCCAGGGGAGCAAGCCAGTAAACAGCGTTCCTCCATGGTCTGTGCTCCAGCTCCTGCCTCCAGGTTCCTGCCCTGAGTTCCTACCTTGGGCTCCCTGATGAACTGCATGCGACCTGGGAGATGTAAGACAAATAAACCCTTTCCTCCCCAAGTTGGTACTGGTCACAGTGTTTTGTCACAGCAATGAAGAACAAACTAAGACAGTACCAAAGGAAATACTTTCTACTCAGCACCCCATGGGACCTTCTCCAAAATAGACCATAGACAGGGGCACAAAACAAACCTCAACAAATACAAAAGGATTGAAATAATTCCATGTATTCTATCAGACCACAATGCAATAAAGCTTACAATCAACACCTGAAGAAGCCAAAATCACCACACAAATGCTTGGAAATTAAACAACACACTCCTGAATGATGAATGGGTCAAAAGAGAAATTAAGAAAGAAATAAAAGTATTCCTGGAATTAA